ATTAATTATTTTCCATCTCTTACTGTGCCTAATTTATAAAGTAAACTTTATCACGAGTATGTATAGAAAGAAACACAGTGTGTATGCGGTTTGGTACTATCCATGGTTTCAGGGGTCCACTGGGGGTCTTGGAATGCATCCCCCACAGATAAGGGGAAACTACTGTGATCACCTCAGTAGCAAACATCTCCGAAGTCCCTCTGGCCGGAAAGCACAATAGAGCAGACTAGTAGATGCAGATGGATCAGTGAGATACAGGATTCTATCTGGAGATCACCTTGTGACACAGCAAAAGGGGATGGGTTTTACATTCAGAGTTCCAGCTCCGCTGCTTACCAGCTACGTGGCCTTGGGCTGGTTTCTCAATCTTTCTAAGGCTGAGTTGTTGGTTGTTTTTTTTTTTCATGTTTAAATTAAGGAAAATAACACTCCTGCCTGGCAGAGTTGTGTGATCCAAAAGATAAAGCACACGAAAGCTTTTTGCCAACGGCAAAGCATTTATGCAGTGATGAGTTATTAGAATTCAGCCTGCCAGCAGGGTACCATGGCATCCTTTCATCTCTCCTACCCCCGGTGCCCTCTCTCCTCAAACCACAGAGCATGTGTGCACACAGTGCACAGGTGTATCCTCCCAAACCTCCGCGTCCCAGACAGGACAGCATGGCTCTACTGAGCCTTCACCACTAACAGGGAGGTGGAACCAAAAGGCCTAAGACCCAAGTTTTCCCTTAAGTAGGACAGAAATCAGAAACAATTTCCGGTCATTCTATGTTATGAATTACCCTGAATGACCAGAAATTGTTTCTGATTTCCATCCTGCTTAAGGGAAAGAGAAGATGCTTAAGTAAGAAAGAAGATGCCTGGAACTGATCTTACGAATAAGAACTAGGAAGAAAAAGAACTGGCAGGAGTTTAGGGAGCAAGGAAGGACCACAGAGGCCTCCTAGTCCTGATTTCACAGGTACCATTGAGCGTGAGAGACAAGTAACTTGTCCGGGATGACACAGAGAAGAGCGGGGATAGGAGCCCAGGCCTTCTTTCTCAGTGCCACTCTGCTTGAAGTACCACCAGCCATTCATTTCCCAATCCATCTGACTCCCATATTGCTGAACTAACTGAGTAATAATAAGTCCAAAAGGAACTTACCCACGAAACTTTTCTCCGCCACAGATACCGGGCACCATAAGGGCCCCAAAGAGCAGTATCCACTTCATGTCCCAAGGGTGTCAGTTACACCGTGGCTGAGTCAAGCTGTATTTATAAGGAGTCTGAGGCAGACTCAGGTCCTCAGAAATGCTAGTGAGATTCCCAAGCAGCCTCGCATGATTCTCCCATTCCTTTGGAGTGACAAAGGCCAGCCTCCCGATTCACAAGATCAGGAACTTGCTCCTCAGGCTAGAAAACTCTGGGCCACAGGTGCCATAGAGATTGCTCAACACTGTATTTAAATAGTGTTTTTCGACTAAATAGGAAGTCCCACAGTGCTGAATGGAATTCCAACTAACAGGAGACGCCAGGTTGTAAACTTCAGACAGAGCTGCCTCTGGAGTTAAAAAAAAAAATGTGAAGACTAGCAAAGAAATGCCCAGCCAGCTCCAAGAACACACACTTGACCAGCCCTGTGAGAGAATCCACCAGAGCAAGTCACCACGAGGACTGTCTATGTCCTGGTGTTAGGAATCGGACACCTAACTCCTTGGACTCCAGTAAGAAAGTAGAAATATATGAGCTAAAAGGTATAGGAAGAATGCGTTAGTCTGAATAAATTACCTGTTTTCCTTAGGGTCTGAGCTAAAGTTAAGACTTCATGGAATTATGAAAAATAAGACTTTCTTGTATTTGTGAGGCTCTGAGTCTCTAGTGGCCTTGTCCCCAAGTCACAGCAGGATAAATGGAAGACACCTGTGACCTCCACGGCTTCTTCACGGACTCCGGGGCCTTTGAGTCTATTGTGGGAGCCCCAAATCCCACCAGCCTCCCCCACCCCACTGCCCCCCGGACTGCACTCTCTCTGCACTTGCTAAGGGGAGTGGATAGAACCAGGGGTGGCGATTGGGACAAAGAAAAATTATTCTGATATTTGTTCAAACTGTACGGAAGACGTTATTCAAAATTACTGCACTAGGGGTCATGTAATCAGGGAAAGTAATTGTGTCCGACCCTGAACACTATGAAGACCACGGAGTGCGGGGTCAGCAGATGGACGACTGCTAAGAGGAGACATTGAGCGTACGTAGGGGCTTACTGGCCTAACTGGCCTCGCAGGATTCTTGCTAAAGGCAGGCCAAGGGTTGAAACAGCAGGAGTGGAAGATAAGAAGCTTGATCAGATAGCAAGGCTTAGGGGACAATGTCCTTAGCAGGACTCTTTGCTGAGACCAACTTAGGGCCCAAGCATAAGCCTAGTCAAAGAGAGGACTCAGAGAAGCCATCTAAGGTTTGGTCAAGGAGAGTCTTTGTGAGGAGCCAAGTGCCTGGGGTTCCTGCCAGAGCTCCTCATCCTTCCCAGGCTGAAAGTGAACTCCTTTGCCCATCCCGATCCATCTCAGACTGGGTTCTCCTTCACCAAGGTGGATTTCAGCTTGGGTATTAGTAACAAGAAAAACTGAGACCTGAATCTGCAAGAAATGTGAACTAAAGAATCAAACGCCCACCCTGACTGACTCAGTTCTCAGTTAGTTGGAACATCGTCCGGTGTAGCAAAATGCTGTGAGTTCGATCCCCAGTCAGGATGTGTGCGGGAAGCAGCCAGTAGTCTCTCTCTCCCTGTCTTTCCCTTCCTGTCTCTCTAAAATCAATCAACATATCCCCGGGTGAGCATTAAAAAAAAAAAAATCAAGTACCCAGAATTCCATGCAAGCTGAAATTCACTTCCTATCCCTTCCTCTTCAGAGAAAATCATCCACATGAAGAAAATTTCAACCCCTAATGGAAGTAAATGTCTAAAGAGAAATTATATGGAGTCTGAGACCCAGACTTGATGAGGCAACCATGAGGGAGTGTCACTAGTTTGGGTCCCCACCAGTGTTTATAACATGGCATACCAGAAAGAGAAAAGCAAAGACAATAATGGGACCAGAGGACACAGTACCTGGCAAAACACTTGGAACAGTGTAGTTGCTTAATTAGTATTTACGGAGCAAATGAACTCAGAAGCCCCTTTTTAGCTCTAAAATGCTACTCGATTAAGAAGAAGGAGCCAACACATGTGCCACCACATGGATGAACCCTGAAATCATTATGCTAAATAAAATAAGCCGGTCACAAAAGGACAAACGCTACGAGAGAGACCCCCCCCAAAAAGCAGAATTACCTCTGGAGGGCGGGCCCCTTGCAGCACAGGCTCCCCCGACTAGGGGAGTGTTCTGGGGACCCATCTGTATCACTGTACCAGCTGTTGTGGTAAGAAGCTGCGTGCAGCCTCAGTGCGTTTTGTTTGAAGACTCTTTCAACGTGTTTGCCCATTTCATGACCGATGATTTACGGTGATTTACGAGCGCACCTGCTCGCACTGCGCTGCGTGTTCAGCAGTTTTTGACGAAAACAGCCATGACCCCCGTGCCTCCCCTCCCTACGCACCGGATCTACTGGGGGCCTGTGGAATGACCTTTTTTGTTTGTTTCCCTGGATGAAAAAAGTCCTCAAAGGGAAACGTTTTTGCTGATGTGGACAAAGTGAAACAAAAAATGGCAGAAGCACCAAAAGGCATCAGAATCGACAAGTTCAAAAACTGTTCTGAGCAGCGGAGAAAACATCTCTGTGGGTGTACTGCACCAAAAGGCGAGGACTTTGAAGGTGACTGAAGTTTAAACATGTAAGAATAAATACACAATTTTTTATAAATAAAGTCCGGCTTCTGGGAGGCCCCCCTTCATATATCATTCCATTTATATGTGGCTCCTAAAATAGGTAAATTCATAGACACAGAATAGACGAGGGGTTCCCAGAGGTCAGAGGCAGGAAGAATAGGGAGTTACTGCTCAATGGGTAGGAACTTTCCATTCGGGATGATGTAAAAGTTCTGGAGACGGATGGTGGTGATAATTGTACACTTAAAAAGGGTTAAAATGTTGAATTTTATGCCTATTCTACCACAATGTTTTTTAAATATTGAAAGGATGCTGGGAGCATTTTGCTAAGGACGGATTCTTTTAAAAAGGTAAAGGGGTAGAGCTCAGCTGTTTGCCATATTTTGGGGCAACATAAATTGAAAAAATAATCTTCCTATATCAGGATTACAAAAAGGAATCCCCACTCCACAACTCTGCTTCAAACCAGAGAGCTTTTAATGGTGTTTATTCCCCCACAGCCCTAATAGGGATGGTCTCGCACATGCTCCATGATGGTCTTCAAGCCACGCCAGGTCTCTTCGGCTGTGGGTAGGATCTGCTTGGCAGGCAGAAGGAAGCCGTATCGACCCGTGTCTCTCAGTTCAAAGGCAAACGAGTACTTGATGCCAGAGTCGTAGGCCCAGTCAATGCTTCCTCCACTGGCTTGGTCTGACAGGCACATGAGAGGAAAGTCTGGTTATGCTATTCCCACTGGCCTCTCGCAGCTACAGAACCTCTATGTTAAGTCCAACTGTTATTACAAAGATAAGTTAGGCCCCTGTCTGCATGGGTGGGCCTTGAGGGCCAGGATAGCTTAGTAGGGAATCATGCTTAGGAAAAAAACAAGATTTATTCGAAAAGCAAAAGGTGCTACGTAAAGGGCCCCTACAGGGTACACCCAGGCTTCCCCTGGTGTTCTCAGGAGCCTCTGCTTCACACACCCATTTGGAGTCCTGCCTGCTCTCCTAATTGGCATCTTCTGTAACTTTGGAGGCCACCCCATGTCCTTCTTGAGAAGAGTGCTAGGCGTAGACACTGTTTTCTCTAGAGGGAGAGGAGGGATTACAAATAGAAGAAAATATTTGGTCCCTGACCTCAGGGAACTTTCAGCGTAAGAGCTGAACACGCCTTGTTCTATATAAAATAACAAGCCCAATACTTACATTTGATGGGCTCATGCAGTAGAGTAACATGCACCTGTGTCATTCGGGACCGCTGACAAGACACATGATGAAGGAAGGTGGCATTAGCCTACAAAGACTTGGGGTGATTATGACTCAGAAGAGATGAGTGATGGACCTGCTTGAGGTCCCGCCCATAGAGGGCAGGTAGAGGTGAACTGAAGGAGCTGCCTGAGGCAGAGATGGAGGAAGCCACCGCATCCCTAAGAACGGGTCGGACAAAGAGGAAGACGGGGGAGGCTGTCCCAGGGCGGGCAGGACTCGCGGTTAATACTGTGAATGGACACAACTCCTCTGACCAGTGTCTGTCTCCACTCACAGCAGCTATAGTAGCGCCTGGTAAACAGCAAATACGGAAAGGTTTCTGGCTTGAACCGAGCCTTTCTGGGTGCCAAAAGTGCTAACTCACGCCTTTGGTGTGGCTACGTGACAGAGCCAATCACACGAAAAGTCTATAGTGGGTCCTGGCCAGGTGGCTTAGTTGGTTGGAGCATCATCCTATTTACCAAAATGTTGCTGGTTCGATTCCCAGTCAGGGCACATACCTAGGTTGCGGGTTCAGTCTCCAGTCAGGGAGCATACAGGAGGCAGCCAATCAACATTTCGCTCTCACACTGATGTCTGTTGCTCTGTCTTTCCCTGTCTCCCCCATCTCTCCCTTCCTCTCTCTGAAATCAATAAACATATCCTTGGGTGAGGACTTAGAAAAAAAAAAGAGAAGAAAAAGAAAGAAAAGAAGTCCATAGTAGACAGAATGCTAGTTTCAGACTGAATCCTGATTCTGCCAAACATTAGCTGGTGACCTAAGGCACATCGCTTATCTCACTGAGTTTCAAATGCCCCATCTGTCAACTAGGGATAATACTGTTACTTATTTCACAGAGCACTGAGAATTAAATGGAATAATATAATGTTTATGATTCCAGCACTCGTTGAGTGCTTAACTAAATGTGTTAGGCACTATGCTAAATTGGTTCATTTAATCACCACTGAGTCACGAAGTAGGTATTAGTCTTATTTCCATTTTACAGATAAAAAACTGAGGCTCGGAGAGATTGAATGAAGGGTCTGGGGTAATGTCTGTAAAGTAGGTATTCAATACATGTCAGCTGTGATTCTAAGTGTGACTAGGATCCTATCAAAAAAGTTGGACCACATTAAGGACAAGAGGTACGTGGAGGAGAGTTCACCAAAAAACTAACAAAGAACACTTACATAGTGCCTTCGAGTTAGTGAACACTTTAAACCTCCATTCTGTCTTCTGAGATTCTCAACAACCCATTTCACAGATGAAGAAACCAAGAAAGGATGAGTGACCTGTCCAAAGTTCCTTGGTTCCAAAGTGGCAGAGCTATAACACAAACCCAGACCCCTGTCCCCAAGGTCTATGTTTTTGTCCCCTACATCTGAGGAAGAACTCAAGTCACAACTCCTTCTGGACAAACACCTGTTGTAGCAGAGATCCTTGAGGCCCTTTCCAGATGAAAAACTGCCCAGGAAATGTTTCACCCACCACAAAAGTCCAGCCGCATCTGGGTGGAGTAAAGCAGGTGCTGGGCCAGAGCTGCATACCAGCCTGGGGCAGGAGGCCAAAAGCATTTAACTGGGACTAGTTCCTAGAGGCAGTGCTTGCCTAAGCTGGAGGGAGACCAGGTTCAAAGATAACAGAGTCGACTCTAGGCAGAGATGCAGCCAGAACTTGCTTGACCACTAATGGTCAGGTTCCAAAAATATCAGACAGCAAACCCTATACTCCTCTGATATTTGCTTATTGAAAATGTCTTCAATACCTGTGACCTTGCCAAGAAAAACACACTGAACCTCAGCCTTCCTACGTCTCCCTTGCTTGTAAATACCTCAGCTAAGGAGGGAGGAAAACTAGATTCCCAGTTACAAGATGGCTGAGGCCACTCTGCTGACATTCTGAACTCCAGCCTCCACCCACAGGCTGCCACACGGACCGAGAAAGCGTGGGCCCATCAGCCCTGGGGCCTTCACTCAGGAGGCCCTCGTCCCTAGAGGCACCCCCACCAAAGGGGAGAACCATCCCACATGGAAATGGTTTCAAAGGTCTGGGCAACTGTAGGCAGCTCAGTCTTCCCAGAGAAGAGCAAGAGGTCCAAAGCCATTTGTTCCATTTGACTTGGAATTTTTGCCTTGGGATGCAATACCAAAGAGATCTAAAATGAAGGGGGACTTGTACCGACACGTTCATAGTAGCACTGTTTAACAAGAAGTTAAAACGATCCAAAGGCCCAGTAACTGGGATATAGCACTAAAATGGGAAAACAAATACCTGGAGTGGAGAAACATAAAATTATACAGGAAATAATGTTAACTGAAAAACAGCTGGACGCAAACTGGAACACTGGCTTGTGGACGAGAAAGAGGTTCTACGGAAAGTAATCTCACGGCGTGATCTGACCATAAATTCCTAATGGGCAGGTCATGGTGGGGAGTCACATCCCAGGGCTGTAAAAGGATTCTCTCTGCCTGAAGCAAGCCGAGTCCACTCTGCCTGTGCATCTAGGTTCACACACCTTTCAAACCCCTCCTTCTAAAGCATGACCACCCTCCAGAGGGCCCGTGTAATCAGTCTTAACTGTGCGCCATCCCATCCTGCCCCGCCTCCTCTCACCTCTATGTAACCTTCCTTACTTCCCTCCTTAGTCTCAAACGCATTAGAGAAACTGCAAACTATTATCATCTGGAGCATTTTTCTCAGTCTGTTGAGATTTTGCTTCCAGGTGCGTCCTCTACTTGGTGCAAATAAATTACTGTAAAAATTCTCCATAGGTTTGAATGTTCTTATATGGACATGCTAGATTAATGTATTTGTGTTCATTGACGAAACCATTAATGAAATTGAAACTGAAAATTAAAATGTTGGTTATTGGATTTTGTTTTTCTATGAAGTTTTTAAATGCATCATAATAGAAAAAAGAAACAAAAAAATCATCATCTGAAAAAAAAAGAACTATCATCACCTGAAATATCACCAGATCACTAGTTTCTGGATTTTCAGTAAGTGTTCTAGATAGGATGCATGAACTATTACTTCTCTGCTCTCCAAGACTCCGTTAAAGAGAAGAACAGAGGCCCAAAACGGCATCACTTGCTAAAAGCCCATGACACCAAACCTAGATTTAACACCTGATCTAATTGCAGTTTAAGCCTCTCCCAGGAGTGGCATTTTAAACAAATCAGCTTGGAATTTCCTGCCCCACACCAGTGAGGTGACCTGCCTGGTGAGACCCCCCGCCTTCCCTCAAGAAAAGGTGCCCTTGCCTGAAATAATCCGCTCTGAACGTCTTCGTCCCACCTTTTTTCTGCCTATAAAAACCATCCATCTTGTACAACCCCCAGAGTGCCCTTCTAGGGATGCTGCCCAAGTCATGAATTGCTTAGGAAAGCCAATTAGATCTTCAAAGTTACTGGGTTGAATTTTATTTTTTAATGACTCCCATTAAAAAAAACCATGCCTCAGCCCTGGCTGATGTGGCTCAGTGGATTAAGCACCAGCCTATGAACCAAAGGGTGGCTGGTTCGATTCCTAGTCAGGGCACATGCCTGTGTTGCAGGCCAGGTCCCCAGTAGGGGTTGTGTGAGAGGCAACCACACATTGATTTTTCTCTCCCTGTCTTTCTCCCTCCCTTCCCCTTTGCCTAAAAAATACATAAACAGAAAGAAAACCATGCCTCATAAGTGTGTATACCTTCAGATTTCTGCCACCACGACTCTCGCACAGACAGCTGACTCTGCCCCCAGTATGACTACAGACTCCGCTCTGGTTCAAGCCTGATCTGCCCACCTCTGCTTGTCCCTGTCTTGCCCCCCTTCTCCCCCATTCTGCAAAAGTATTACATTGGTCATCTCTTCTTTCTTTCTCCTGCATCTTTCATAGTTCCCTCTCTTAATCCTTTCCCACTCAGTAAATAAGTCTCTTATCTAAATAATAATAATGGGTAGAGGAGAGATAAATGGTAGTGAAAAAATGCAAAAAAAAATGTAAAACTCAAAACTTAAAAAAAAATTTTTTTATAAAAGGAATCCTTGATTCCTATCTCTCCTCCCCTTCATATCCAGGTTCCTCCAAAGAGCCGTCCACTCACAAGTGCTGACTCTCCCCAACCGGGCTTCTTAGGCTCCTCCTACCACTCTCCTGAAACGTCTCACTCACGGTCCCCAATAAGCTAGTGTAGGGGTTCAAAACAAGTTACCCTAAGATGTGCCTGTGTGGTATGCAGGCTGTTCTGAGCTAAAAGCAACCAGGACCCTGTGGAAGCAAGAGAAACTTCTGCCCTCCCCCGCTTAACTACCTAGAAAAACATGAATTAGGAGCCTTGCCCATAATTAAAGGTTATCAGAGATAACCATTTTCCTTTTTTTTTGACTTATCTATAGGGCAGGGCACACTTTAGTTTACGGAACTTCTGCTCGTACTGTCTTGCAATAACCTTCTGCATGCATCTATTTAAATGTGCCCTTTCGGCCATTGGACCTCTCATGGATGTGGGGTCTGGACTCTCTCATGGATGTGGGGTTCCCATACATATGTATGTAATTAAATTCGGTCATTTTCTTTTGTTAATCTGTCTCATGTCTATTTATTAAACCAGCTGAAAGAACCTTGAGGATATAGGAAAATGTCTTCCTCCCCCAACACTAGTGTTAAAAAAGAGAAAACCACAGGCCCAAAATGGTATCACTTGTGCTAAAAGCCCATGACACCAAACCTAGATTTAATACCTAACCTAATTGCAGTTTAAGCCTCTCCCAGGAGTGGCATTTTAAACAAATCAGCTTGGAATTTCCTGACCCACACCAGTGAGTTAATCTGCCTGGTGAGACCCCCCCCCCCTTCCCCTAAGAAAAGGTGTCCTTGCCTGAAATAATCCACTCTTAACTTCTTGGTCCACCCTCTTTCTGCCTATAAACTCTTCCATTCTGTACCACCCTCAGAGTGCCCTTTTGGTTGCTAGATGGGATGCTGCCCAATTCATGACTGCTTTAAAAAGCCCATTAGATCTTCAAATTTACTCAGTTGAATTTTGTTTTTTAACACTAGTGATGAAAATCCAATGGTAAACATTCTGTCCTTGTAATAGTTAGCCTTTCTGTGGCCTTTGTCATTGTTAAACGCTGCCTCCTGTCCAACAATTGCTGAAACATAGAGATCTGTCTCCTCTCTGCCCAGCCCTGCTGCATCTCCCTCCCTGACGACTAACCTCATCTTTGGCCTAATGTCTGGCTCCCTTCCTCCACCCATGACTCTTCCTGCTCCTGCTGTCCTGTACCAAACATCCTCTCTGTGTCAACTATCCCAAGTCTGTCTGTCTGTCTGTCTCTCTCTCTCTCTCTCTGCAGAATCTCGGGGCCATGTAGCCCAAAGCCTGCAGGGCATCCCCACTTGAAAACAACCTCAAGACCTGGCTGGTGTGGCTCAGTGGATTGAGTGCCAGTCTGTGAACCAAAGGGTCACTGGTTCAATTCCCAGTCAGGGCAGATGCCTGGGTTGTGGGCCAGGTCCCCAGTAGGGAGTGTGTGAGAGGCAACCACACATTGATGTTTCTCTCCCTCTCCTTCTCCCTCCCTTCCCCTCTTTCTAAATATAAATAAAATCTTAAAAAAAAAAAAAAAAACCCTCAGTATTTCCAGAGCTAAACTCATTATCTTTCCAACTGCTACCCCTGTTTCACCTTCCTGGATGTCTCCCTCAGTTAATGGTGCCATGCAATGTCCTTCAGTGAGAAACTCCCCACATCTGATTAATGGCAAAAAACCCTTGGTTGTACCTCCTAAATGTCTCCCTTCCATCCTCACTGCTCTAGTTGGGCCGCATCTCTCTCCAGAGCTCTTCCTGCTCTTTCAATGGGATGCTCCCACATCCAGTCCATCACTACTTCACCCTCCACACTGAAACTAAAATGTGTGGTCTAAATTAAAACACAATGCTTGCTGAAAACTCTCCAGAGGCTTCCAGAATCCTTTAGGTTAAAAACCTAACCTCCTTAAAGTGGTACATACATGAAACCCTGAACCCCCCCACTCTCCTTCTCACCACTTTCATTCCAGCAGCTCCAAGCCTCCGTGTAGTTCACAGGGCCCATCATCAAGTTTCATCCTTCCGCACCTTTGCATGTGCTGTGAAGGAGCCGAGGGCCCCCTCCCCCTCCCCCTCCTCTAGCTATCTGGTGACCAGCCTTCAAAACCCTGCTGTCTCCCTATATGAAAGTTTTCCTCACTCTGCCACTGCCAAATCCCCCCAACTTTCTAATACTTTTGGAGCATTTATAGCATATTGCACATGAACTGAAGTTCACTGACTTCCTCTTCATCTCCCACATCGAAGTGAGGACTCTGCTTCATTACGTCTCCAATACTTGGCATAATGATTAGTGCTCAAAAGATGCTTAACAAAAGTGTGTTGGACAGAGTGGGTGCCTGTAAGAAGCATTTGCTTCCAAAGGATCACGGCCATGGGAACGAACACTAGGGACCTCCTGGCACTCACTCCCAAGGTCCCGAGTTTCTGGCTGTGTCCACAGGGACTGGAGGGATGCCTTGGGGGGATTCAGAATCTGCGTGAGAGCACACTGGGCTTTCCCTTAGCACTCTAGACATTTCTTATTTTTATCCCAGGCCACCGTGGGAGAGAGGGGTTATAGGAAGTCTGGCCACGAAAAGTGTAATTAATAAAAGTAATGACTCAGGACCAGGTCTTGATGGAGGCCTGTTTTCAGGCAGAGATTCCACATGCTAAGAGTGAGCTGTAAGGGTCAGGACGAGCAGAGCAGAGAGCACACGAATGCCATATTTTGAAAGTTCTTTGTTCTCGATATCACATAGGAGATACATCAGGGAGAAGACCTAGCCTCGCTGAGGGAGACAGATGAGGCTGGGTTTCGTACATGAAGGGGCACCCATTTTACACCAGGGCATTTCAGTGCTCTGGCCCCAAATCACATGGTGCCCCCTATTCTAGTGGACCATTTGTAAAAACACATTAGATACTTACAGATGACTGAGCAGATAGGACCCACTTTGTACTTGGTGCCGTGCAGGCTTGTCAGAGATGTGGCAGCCTTTTGGGCCACTTCATTCTAGAGTGAGAGGACCAAGGAAAGGTAAGTGGCTAGCACTCGTCTCTTGGAAGAACAGATGCCCAACAGTGGAATGCAGAATGGGACGCTCTGATTAACTGACTCCTTGATTAATTGAGGAAGAAGCACAACTCCCTTTATGTTTCAACCATTTTCACTAAGAAGTAAGCACAGCTCACTTTTGTTGCCTTTTAAAATACAACATGAAGACCCTCATTGTTTATTTGATCATCTGCACCTTTGCATTAATAATGACCAAGGTCATTATTTTGCCATAAACTCTTCTTGTTCAGGGCTCTGGACAGAAATGAGCTGGGCAGGAGCGTGGAGGGGGATGGAGTAAGGGGCTCAATAGAATGTGTACTGACCCTAGGATTTACCCAGAAAGGTGATTTTTTTTTTTTTTTTGCTACATCCTTACATTGGCTTATTTCCCTATGATTGTCTCTTTTTCCAAGAAGTAGAGCTCAGCAAAATATTTTCCATTATTTGAGGGTTCCAATTTTGACTGATTGAGGCTTTACTATCCTTGCTAGGGATAAATGTCAGGTCTTAAACTCGGGTCCAGGAAAACAACTGTACAATTACCAGATGCGGGGAATCTGGCTCGGCAGACTCCTCAGAGAGCCTGGGGGTTTCAGTTGTCAATACGCCCAATGTGAGTCAACGGGCCGGTGCTCCTGCCAATAAACTGACCCTCAACTGCATAAGCAGAAGTGCTAGTCCGGCTGAGGGCGGTTATGGTCACGCTCTGCTGTGCTAGTTAACCCTCAACGCAAGCTTTACATTCACTTCTGGGAGCTACTCTTGAAGTACACAGGCAAACCAAAGCATGTTTGGAAAATAGCAAGCGGAATGTTATGGAAACTTGGGACCCTATTATGAGGGCCCGAAAGAACTAGCGGTATTTGCAATAGTGGAGATAAGAAAAACCTGGGTGTAGCAGGTTACTAGTGGATTTGCCTCTCAAAGAGAAATAAACGTGCTCCACGGAGCCAGACGATAAATCAGGACTGACAGGTAAAAACCATAAGGAGTTGGTTTGGCTCTAAGGAAGAACGCAAACAATCAAATATGCCCCAACATGGAATAGGCTCCTTAAAGCCAGGAAACCATCCAATCACAGGATGAATAACTATCTGGCAGAGATTCGAGCAGCAGGTGTGGATAATTTAAGGTGATCTAGATCTCCTAAAAGCACCTTTTAGGCTCTTTTCAACCTTGACATTCTTTTCCCCCGATTCAACCTTGAGTCATACTACACACACCATCAAAACCCTGAAAACTTGCCCCACAGTGCTAAAATTCAACTGATGGGATGAAAGATACAGCTGAATTGGAATAATCTATTCCATTTCTGCCAGGAGCTGTTGACAATAATCTATTTGAAAGTAAATTAACCAAAAGGTCGCATCTCAGGGCTTATCTCTAACATACAGTTTTCAAAAATTAAGCCTAAAAGCCAAATTGGAAATATTTGCACATGCTCTGCAGCTGGGGATAGTTCTTGGTCATTTGTAAGCAGCCACCTGAGATGTCACCACTTCACTTATCCCTCAAACAGGAAAGACAATGGAGGAAATCGAAGTTAGGGAAATGAGTGTTTTACGCCCAACATCCAACACCAGTGCACCATGACGGCAGGTCACAGAGCCGAGGGCAGCAGGAAGGTACTAGGCAAGGAGCTGGAAGTCGGCACAGAGCACTGGACCCTAGATCCAAGAGCCTCAGGTCCAAATCCAAGTGGTTATTTCCTAAGCAACAGAAAGCACATCCTGGGAACTTATGTTCATCAGGGCCTTGCTTATCTAGATGAAAGCAGTAATAATTTTGTGAATTCTATTTCCTAAGGATACCTAATTTAGGAAGGTCCGCATCACATTCTTCTCAGTGGTTGGACATATTGTGCCTCATTCATCTTTATAACCTATCCCTAATGCACTCCCATCTCAGTTCATAACTTTAGGACCGAAACTTATTCGACTGCACAATGGATACTGGTGGCTGAGCTGAAATGAAGTTTCAGAAACTCACCAGCTCATCGAAGTTATTTAACTTGGTGCATTTATACCCATAGGGGAACATCAGCAGCTGGGAATAGCTGTGGAGGGTAATGAAGGCCTTGACGTTTCCGTGACTCTTGATGAAGTCCACTATGGATTTCACTTCAACTTCAGAGTTGGCACTGGGTCCATGGTATGAATCAGAGCAAGGACTGCTGCTAGCTCCAGGTCCTGATGGCATGCAAAAGAAGCCCAAAGAGAACAATGAGATTTAAGAAGACACTGTATGAATCCAGTTTCCACACATCGCTAAGCTCCTCCTCTGGAAATCAGAGCAAGAATGTCAGAGTCAGGAAGTTGAACTGAAATGATTCTGGACATCCTTTAAAATATGGTTCTTCTATATGGCAGAAAGAGCTATCAAATTAGATCATCTCCTCTCTGTGGGAGTTATTGGAAGAAAAACTAGGTTTAATATTATAGATGAAATTCCTGCATTGGGTGGGAGTTAAGCAAGTTCAGTTTCTGGGATCGCTTCCAATTCTTCGAGTCCAAGAGTAAAAGACTCTGTGCATCTGCACCTCTAAGTCACAAAACCACAAATGCAGGGAACCTCTGTCAGCCCTTCTACAGTGGGGAAATCACAAGTACTTTTGACCACAAGGCCACCTTTGGCCTTGATTTTCTCAGCTACTAGAGTTACCCATAACCACTGAAGATGGTTCACAGTGGCCTGGCCAGGGCTATGGACACTACAGAAACTCTGATGGCCTGGGCAGGGCCCGGGACATCCGAAGGTCTCTAAGTGATACGAACAAAGGATAAATATAGCCTGTCAGCTTTATTCTAGGATTATTTTATAACGGCAACATTATTTTGGATCTGATGCTTTGATTTTTTTTCCCTACACTAAAAAAAAAAAAAAAACCTACTGTAAAATTGATAAAATCAATTAATGAAGAAGTTGCCACTCATCCCTATCCTCTTGTCAGTCCCTAATGTGTTCTTTCTGGGTTCGGTGAGTGTTGCTAATTTATTTGTCTTACAAGTACTTAGTGATTGCCTTCTATGTTCCAGACACTGTGCTAGGTGTTAGGAAAACTGCAGTGGAAGAGATACAGTTTCTCACCTCACTGTTATCGTGCCTTCTGAGGAAAAAACCAAACAAATTTCAATTCTGCAATTAGAGAAAGAGAAGGGCTTCTAACTGATGCCTGAAAGCATAAAGGCGAGCCTGGACTAGACTGCCACTGAAACTCTGAAAAATTACAGCTGCAAGTCAACGGAGCCAGAGCAGCAAGCTAGCATTTTCTCTTTTGACTCTGTTCTGAAAATCAACTTCTTAATCCTACTTGTACTTTAGTTTTCTTTCTCGAAGCATCCATAGATGATGTAATGCTTCTCTTCCGAATAGATGCTAACCCCCTCTAGTGGTTGGTTTGGGGCTTCCGGCGGCCTCCCTCCATTGCGCAATGTCTTGCTGTGAGAGCTCAGAAGCCGAGGCAGCTACAGCTTGTGGGAAAACCAAGATGTGAGACAAAATATATTAAATGCTGCTCAGAGCTCTGTGACAGCACTGCGTGCCTGTGAAGGGAATTCAGTTAAGTGTTTTTCAAATAGGTTTTTAAATGGCTTGAATCCTGAATGGGCTTAGCAGGTTGACAGCCCTGCAGAGCCATGCAAAACAGCTAGCTGGCCAGACAACGTCTGACCATCCCTGCGCTCACCTCCAAAACCTGCGTCCCAGTTCCGGTTAGGATCAACACCAACACAGCGGCTTCCAGATACTTTGGACCGGGTCTTTCGCCACATACGATTCTTTAAAATCCAGGAAAAAAAAAGGGAATGAGGGGATGGGAGCGGTCACTCAGCCTGATGAGAAGGTCTCTTTAGAATTTTGTTAATTTCCCCCCATCCCTTCTGGAAGGCCCTTTGGAACTGCACAAATTTCACTCCCCACAGAGGTGTGGACCAGTCCTCACACACACACAGTTCTGCTTGGAGCTTCTAAGCTGTCTCACACACAGAGTAGAAGACATTTCTCCCATCTCCTCAAATGAAGACCTGGCAAACCATGTCCCGGAAAACGCCAGTTCTATTCAATGGCAACAACAAAAACTCAAAAAGTGGGGAGGGAGCAAGGGTTTTGTGATAGAGTATTTTGGGGAAAATATAGAGCTCAGTTAGCTGATTTACTTTAGAACTTCTAAGGATTGTTTAATGCTCTGATTTTTTTTAATGAAAATCCAAGAAAGAAAGATACAGTGGACGATATTTCCCAAACTTGAGCGTGGAACCTTTATTCACAGAGTATCTCATAAGATGAGTACTAGTATTTGTACGAGCTCCTTTTAAACACATTGAAAAAATGCTATTGTAGTCAGATCTCTCCAAAAATAAACTTGAAGCTCTCACTCATTTTGAACATACATGGGGTCACAGTTGCCACAATGGTGTTTTGTAATGAGATTTTAAAAAGGAAAAAAAAAAAAAAAAAGAACACATAACTCCTTTTAGTAATACTCCAGAGGATTTCTTCTACAGATTTTAAGCAAAATGTTAGATGTATTGTACTGCCTACCTAAATCCCACTGCAAATCTAATTGTCAGCAGGTAACATCCGCCTCCTCTTTTCTATCAATCCTACCACAAAAACACAGAGATAATTGGAACAAATCTCCTAGGTGACTCACTGGGAACACTGAACTCTAACAGCCCAGCCTAACAGCTGAAATAAGGCTCTGACGGAGGCAATATGTGAAGACATCGTGTGCTGGAATAAGTGATTATAAATTCCACTGCTCGCCTCCGTGTGGGGCCACTACGGAGAGACTGAGCATTCTGTTTAGGGTAAATCAAGGACAGAAAGATTACTTTTATCTTGTTTTCGAAGTTCCTACACAGCTCCTTCGATTCTTGTTCTAAGGAGAGAGAAAAAGTCCAGGCTTACTTTGGTTTGAGAGAACACATATCCATCGGGGTTTGTGACGGGCAGCAGGAAGATGTCCATTGTGTCCAAAATGGAAGTGATGGATGGCTCATTTCCATAATCAGAGGCAATCTGAGCGGAGACGACAACACAGACACCAAGCTCACACTTCCCTTTCACCGGGGCACACAGGATGGAATATTACGGCAAGGTGTTTTTTTCCAAACATGAACAAGATAGCCTTACTAGTCAATGAGAATCTTCCAGGACTTCCTTTAATCCCCTGCAGTGTTAATGTGTTTCATAGGCCAATGCCTATACTTTTATTTCTGGTTAGAATAATTTACCTAGATTAACTAAAAATCAGATACTACGTATCCATTTTCTCTCAAAAGCAGGAGAATGCTCCCTGTTAATTCTGGTGAGGAATTCTGCAATGGTAGGCAAAGGTGTGGGTGGCTTACAGGGATCTACCATCCAAGGAAACGTTTACATTTTTTCTTAATCACCACGCAGGGTAGGTAGCTTCCCAAGATCTCATGACCAACATCAGATAACTTAAATATGCGGAGACTTTCCTTACAGATACAGAGAAACAGTTAAATTCCATTTGGGGAATTAAATTTCTACTTGCAATCAATTGCAGTCGAGTTGAAGTTTCTGCTGGATTAAAATTTACTCATTTCCTGTGCTCAGTCATCCTAAAGCATTATTATTCAACTGTTAAATATCCATTTCATAATACCCTAAAGGTAACCGCATTTTAATTGAAGGGAAAAATGTATCAGTCAGTGTGCACGTGGTTGCACATGCTTGAATGATCTGATGTGGATTGATTTCCTTTGCTCATGAATTAACATTCTGATTTATAGCGTGTCATTTTTGAATTACTTAAGAAATACCAGACGAGGTCATACCCAGCCCGGTGTCCTGACTCCAATTCCAATGAACATGTGGAAGAGAGGCACTGCTATACCCTGACTTCGAAATCAGATTTGGAAAAATTTCAGAACCACCAAAACACCTTACGAATCCCATTTTGGATCTGCAGGTCAAAGTAAACTCTCCCCGCACCTGTTTATATTTCCCATTTTGAGCCCCTTCCGTGATGTTATAGATTTCTAGCACATTGTGCCTCTCAGCCCTGGGAATTCAAGGCAGCAAAGCAATTTTTCTCTTGTCCAATTCTTATGCTGAAGTCTGACTCCCGGGGGTCTTTCTTTGTTACCCTTTCAATCTCTCCCAGCTCACTGTGTCTTTTCACAGGTACACGGTGGCCTGCCTGAGGGACAGTGCCAGGGTACTTGGCTGGGGCAGGACCAAAAAATCGGCTGTGGGTCTGTTCCTGCCCATGTGGGAAGGGAAGCTCCTGGGCTGAGAGCGTGAGCCCTCAGGGCCACAGGGATCATTGCCTGCTTAGGTAGGGTCTGATCCCAGAAAGACACACTAATCAAGAAATGTTAGGCAAGATGACCTTATTTGCAGTCCACAATGCAGTAGCTTGTGTAACCCACTCTCGAGCATGGATCCCGGCGTCCAGCCAGATGGCCGGCTTGTCTCCTCCAGTACTGAACTGCAAAAGAAGCGTGGAAACGTGAACACTCAGCTGCTCCGGACCCTCAGCCCCTTCTCTTTTACCCAGGGCCTTGTCTGTCCATCTTTCTGGTTACTTGGTGTGATTGAGTGAGGAAGAGGAAGTGTAGACAGTGAAGCACCTATTAACTCCTCTCACTTCGGGTGATTATATTGGACCCCTTCCTTTAATGAAAGCTTAACTGCAAGATAACGAGAGCATAGACTTCTTCTTTTCTCGCGTCTGTAAAAAAATCATTGCAGATAATGTAATGCCATGGAAGTATGTTCACTGTATACTGTGAATTTTGAAAAACAGGTTATAGAATAGTATGATGCCATTTTAATTTTTTAATGATAATTCATGTGTATGTATGTAGATATCCAGAGTAAAAGTAAGAGAGAGAGGAAAAGAGAAAGAAACAGGATACACTGCAACATGTCAATAGCTACCACTCCACAATTGTGGAATGAGGAATACGGGGATGTTTTGTTTTTCTTTGTTTTGTTTTGGTTTTTTTTGTCTGTTTCTCTATTCTCCAATTTCACACAATGATTGTGCTATTTTTGCAATTTAAAAAAATAGCACAATCATTGTGCTATTTTGCTCATGATAACCTGTGGAGCCCCTCATAAAAACAGGATGGTACGCTCTGGATGTGCTTTCCAGAGCTGAAATTTTATGATCCAAGTGACTTAGTTTTCTTTGGAGTGGTGGCTTTGCCAACTGGATCAGTAAATGGGGAAGAAAACATTATTTTTGCACTATCAACTTCTATCTCCGTGCAGCATTCTAAACATAGAAGATAAGGTAAATGAGAAATGAAAAATCCTTGCTAAAGATTACACTTTATGGGTTTTTAGAGTTTTTGTTCAAAATGTTCTGTGCCTTTTCCTCCAAAGTGTTCAAATGCAAATAGCAGGAACTTTCACAAACACGTATCATTCTCAACCACAAACCACAATGGAGAAGGGAAGCCAGGAAAATCCAGTGGGGGAGCGAGGGGGGAGCTGCGGTTTCCTGACCCAGCTGCGGGAGAAACAGGCAGGAGGAAATTTTTAAAAAGAAGGTAGTGAACGTTAGCAAATGTGGCCCAGTGTCAATAAGTTGGCAAACCGCTCCTCTCAGGCCTGCTTGGAGAAAAACATTCTGGAGAAATCCATCTGTCCTGAGTCCGTTGGTTCTCAGCCATAACGTTTCCAAATTTAGCAGGGGGTTGTGACATTCCTTTTCTTTCTTTTTTTTTTTTTTTTTCCTTAACAAACTCTTTCTAGGAAATCTTTCACTCTTTTTCAGGGCAAGGTGAGAAAACCTAAAATCTCTGTTAGAGGTAACAGGTTGGAATACCTACAAAGGGCCCTGTTTGGGGGCATCTCCGTTTGCGACTCAGTCGCCTGTCACCCTTTCACGCACTGCGGGAACCCTGTTTTTAATGCGGGAACTCTTTTTCTAAATGCAGCTCTCTGGCTTCACCGCTTAAAAAAAAAATCTCTCGTAGTCTTTTTTGTTTTTAAGAAAGAAACAAGAAAAGCGGGGCGCAGAACTACTAGCTTGATTTATTACGGAATACCTCACCTCATTCCCCCCCACTCCCGGCCCCCAGCCACCCCGGGCCCCCGCACCGCCTCCCCCGCCCTCGGTTCCTATTAGCGCCTCGCTCTCCGGTTGCCTGCGAGCCAATCTCCCGAGATGAGAGCTTTAGTTCACCCCTGCAGACCTGCGTCAGTCGGCGCAGGAAGCAGAAAAGGAAAAAAGGGGCGGGGGTGGGGAGTGCGGAGGTGGCTACTCCAAACCAGCGAGGACCGGTTGGAACCGGGGGCTGGGGCGGGGGCGCGGGCGCTCTGCAGGCGGAGCCGCGACTCCGGTCCCGCCCGGGAGCCCTGAGAGTCTGGGCGCGTGAACCTGTGTACCTTGAGCACGTTCATGGGCCGATTTTCGAAAGAGGAGCCAATATTCACTTTGCTCACTAGATCGGGGTACTCAGCCACGAGGTCATCCATTTTTTGGGAAATCTGCAGTGTTTAAGAAGAGTAAATAAGACGTCTGCAAATCAATAACCTGATGCGCCCATTCGCAGTGTTTCTCTTCCTCCTTTTCCATTCCCCCGAGACAAAGTGGAGAGGGCAGCGCGACGGATGCTGCCGGATGGGGGGCATTTGGGTCAGAGCTGAGACCCGCGTCCCCAGGCCTCCTCTGCAGGGGCTGGAGCCCGGGAAGCCATTTTGCGGCTGCGGCGCCGGCTCTTTCCCGTTTCGTGCTGGAAACAAAATGGCACTTTCCTGGCGTGCCTGTGGCTTTCCCCGCCCAGCGCTGGTGTGCAACTGCCCCGTCAGAAAGCTGCTCACGCTCACTAGTGAAGGGACACAAACATTAGCAGCACCACACACACAGACAAAAAAAAAAAAAAAAAAAGAAAGAAAGAAAAGTGGATTTAGTGGCGAGACCGGCATCACAAAAGGCAGCCGGGCGGGTTTGGGCCGGGCGACAGGGTGCCCGCCTCGGAGGCACTTGTCAGCAGCTACATCGCCTCCAGTTCGCGAAGTTGGTTGAAATGCGGGGCGGCTGCGGCCGTTGCCGGGACGGAGACGTGCCGGGCGTGTCTGGGGAGCGAACCGCAGGAGCACGGCTCCTCCGGCTGTTGCCCGCGTCGGCCCTGCGCGGGGCACGCGCCACTTTGCGGGCCCGCGGGGAAGAGGCTGCGCGCCCTCTTCTCCCTCGCCGGGCCGACCCACGAGCCCTTGTCTGGAATCTTTAGAGGCCGTACACATTTTTCAAATTAAGGGGTTTATTATTTTTTTGAGGGGGGCGCGTGCGATTTTAGGAAGGTAGAGAGCCTGCACTCTGTATAGAACTAGTCCGGTGGCACCGCCCCATATTCACTACACTGATATTTCTGGCAGCGACACAAATGAGTAGCAAGTCAGCTCAGATAAGATTTTTGCGTGCCCCCCCCCAATATGAGTTTAGGATAGGTGGTGTCACCAAATAAATTAGGGAAGGGGGGGGGCTTTGTTTTCAGGGTTTTTTTGTTTTTTTTTTTTGCATTTTATAATTCCTCCCCTGGGGAATCAGCACCTACCAGGAACCTCCTGTCTGGATCTTTTCTCTCCCCTTAGGCCCCAATCCCTATCTGCCCATGTCCCTCCCCACCATCCCTCACCCCCAAGTCACTCAGTGCAAACAGACCCCTGTGGGCTCAGGAAAAGTTCTGTGTGCACTTGCCCAGGTGCCCAGGTGTCAGTGTGTGCTGTGACTCGGATGCAGGAAGGGGTGTTACCACTATGGCAAAACTCAGGAAAGAGCACAAATGTGAGGCATGGGAGCGGTGGGCAGGTGGGAGACCAGGCCCTCGGCTGGAAGTCAGAGGTGTTGAGGTGTCTCCTGAAACTATCATCAGTGACAGCATGAAGCATAGCTCTCAAATGGCTTTGTAGGCAGCACCCGCCAGAAATCAGCAAGGGGGCCTTGAACAGAAAGCACGGTCGCCCACGGGAGGCTGTTTGTGTGCTCGCGTAAGACACTTCTGGCTGCTTGGAAAATCGTGGGATGGCTGCTGGCACGGGCAGGTGGGCTTTGGGTCGTGCTTTGAGGCTGTGACACTTCATACTGGCTGTGAAATGCTAGGAAAGTTGAAGAAGTTAGGAAATAATCATTTCCATTAAATCACCAAGGGGACGGGTGGGTTTTGTCATCTGGGTTTTGTCATCTGTTTCTCAGATGTCCCTTCTGAAACACCTACCTCTTGCAGGGTATGATAAGCCTCAAAGTTGAAGTTACCATTTCGTTCTCTTCTTTGATTAAATAACATTTCTTCATTCTCTCTGTCCAACAGAACCTAAGAAAAACCAATCATACCTGTGATTAGCTTATAGCAGTGCATTTGCATCTGTTCGGTACAGTCCCAGGAGTCCCTTTCCCTGTCCTATAGGCTCTGGGGCCATGCCTTTGCCTTATTCTGGCAGCTCCCTGGAAGACGATGGGCATCAAGGGGGCCTCTGGCCAGCCAGATGCTGCAAATATAGGAGGACAGTCAGTCCCCTGGTTCTCTCATGGCTCCTCCTCCCTCTGTGGGAACCCAGGCTGTATAGATGGAGATGTGAACACCACCGGCTCCATCTCCATGTCCCAGATTTCACATCATGTCTTAACTTCCAAGTTGTGACCTTTGAACCCCCTTCACAGTCCTTAACAGTCACACCAGAGCTTGCTAGTCGATGGCTGGCTGTGTTCCTGAAACTGTAGCTGTGATCGTGTTCGTTAGCAACAGCCGGCTCGCCATGACAACCAGGATCAATATCAAACTGGTCATAGTGTTGATTATAAACAATTATCTATCACAGCGATTTTCAACCTTTTTCATCTCATGGCACACATAAACTAATTACTAAAATTCTGCAGCACATCAAAAATATATTTTCTGCCAATGTGACCAAAAAAAAAACGGGTATAATTTCGATTCATCTACACCGGATGGCTATTGTTATGTTAGCTGTTGTCATTTTTTTATTTGACAGGCTAAGGGAAAAGAGGTGGGTACCCCTGACTAAAAACAGTCAGGTAGCCCATGCTTTAAAAATTCTTGCGGCACACTGGTTGAACATCATTGATCACAAACCACCAGGAGGTGTGGCCCCTGGAGCTACAGCATTCTTTGTCCCTTTGTCCTGTCAATCATTAGTACACCACACACACAGACATACACGCACACAAAGTACAGCAACAGGGGCCTGGTAGCAGGGAGTAATTTGCACAAACCTGCTGGAGCATCTTTCTGTCTGCTCTGGCCCAATCTTCCTGGAAGTAAACTACCCGATAATAAATTCTGTTACAGTCTGTGGTGTTGACTGCTTCATCTTTTGTTCAGAAAGTGCTTTCTCATACGGTGGCCAATACATTTATGCCCCATGGTTAGACACAGGGCCTAAGGTAACCAGCCATTAAAAGCTAGATGAATAAAATCTTACTTTTACCTAATTTGACTAATACCCATCAGTTTGCCTTTTACATTTCATGCTGAAGACTCTCTTATCCTTGCCCTTAAACTCTTTATTACCACATCCCATCTGTGCCGAATGCAAAAGAGAGAGGGGCAGGGCCTCCCTGCCCACTCTGCAGGGATGGTACACACTGCAGGGCGGCCCTAGTGGCACGACATGTTCCTCCCCTGGCGGAGGGCCCCCAAGGATAAAAGAGGATGGTCCTCTGTTCAAATGGACCAGCAAGCCTGTGGAAGGGTACTCTGTGGGGTAATTACCTGAACGTCTTCGATCATGATGGAGTAAGCAATGTCCTGGGACTCCAAGAAAACCTTCACTGCCTGGACACTGACAAAGGGAACTCGGACATGGACTGTCTGCCCTGGTGTGGTGGGTGATTTCCAGAAATCAAGCTGAAAGGGATAAAAAGCCAAGGCAGTGAGTGGGTCGTGTCAGAGAAATGGACAGCTCCGCACTGATAGATTTCGAGAAGTCAATTCCTATCTATTTTATCTCACGCCCACAAGACTGGAATCATTGTGGAATCACTGTAATTTTGCAAGAAAGGTTTTTAAATAGCCAAGCATTGACATATGTTTTATAATCACCCCACTGTAGTTTGCTATTAAAATGGGCAGAAGGAACAGAGTATTTAAAACTGTGGCAGTTTTTTTTTTAACAGTGGACGTTCAGGTGATCTAATTCATTGTATAACAATGTTATACTATAAATTATTTTAGGAAGGAAATAATATGTTAAAAGTGTTCAGAATTTTTTCAAAGTAACTTCAATCTCTTTTTTCATTCTTACAATAAACCTATGAGATAGAAGAATATCTCATAGAGATATTCTCTCATTAGAGTCAATGGGAAATGAGACACAGGAAACGTGGGTGACTTGCCCCATGTCACCGAGCTGGGACGAGAGCCCAGGTGTTCTGCATCCCGGCTTCATCAGCTAGCATCCCACACAGTCAGAGAAGATGAGTAGATCCGAAGTGAGAGGTACCGATCACCACATCTAACTGTGGAGTAGTCACTCTGGGACAGATACCTGAAGATCTTCTTCAGCCTCCAGTTCTGCCAGATTTTTTATTTGTTCTTCATTCTTTGGTACGATCTCAAGAACTTGATCTCTAAAGAATAGTAACCACAGGCATGACCTTAAAAAGCAAAACCTGGACACTGGTTCCTGTTGCCGCCTGCCCCTATTTGTCTCCACGTGCCAGGTTAACGCAGCAGTCAATAACCTCTCTGAGAATCAGGAAACTAATAAATAGTATACTGACCCACATCCGCAGAATGAGCAGTTGATAGAACGGCTTTACTTCCCCCAAGGGTATGTTATCTAAATAATAATTAAAAGGTATACCTGCTCCTAGCAGGAAGCTTGATGTTAAAGTTGCCTTTCCTTTAGCTAATGATTATTCTCAAATGACACCTGCTGCTCAATAAAGAACTGGCTTTTAAAACTTGTCTGTTCCTGTTTTTCAGAAATAAGTTGTTTTTTTTAAAGTAGAATAATTAGTTTGGTGCTTGGAAGCGGAATTCACATCTGGAGAGGCCTAGAATGGTGTGTATGGGTGTGGGAGGTGTGTTTGTTTGTTTGTTTGTTTGTTTTGCTGTTGTTACCTCAAATATATCAGAGTTCCACCTCCGAATGAGATGTATATAGTCCAAAGTTGGGGTGTAGCTAGGCACAATTGGGACCCAGAAAAATCACAGTGCGCCTCCCTCTCCTCCCCCCCCCCCCATGCAAACACGTCATGGGGAATAAAGGATATCAAGGACAACTTGGCAGGAAAAAGAAGCTGCAAAATAAGCAAACACATATCCTTCATAAAAAGTTGGGTAGTAGAGCTGGATTCTTCTAACTCTTCCTTGGGGATTGATGTTTCTCTTCTATCTTTTTCTTCAAGTAGGCTGACTGCCTTGTTCGTTTATACAGTGGGGATGGATCGGTACAAAGAGCCATACAGTCGCATACAGGGATAAGAGTTCAGGTCTTCTGAAAACAAGTGCCATGCAATTTCCAATGAACTCAAGTGGAGTACATGTGATAGGATGAGATAGTCAAAGCCCTCTTGCCTTCAAGCACCCACCTGCCACAGATGGTCTGAAAATTCTTCCATTTGAGTCTCATTCTTTTTGACTAATGCCTTGACTCCCAGGAGTCCTCCTTAAAAAATGGAGAGGCACTGGGAAACGTTAATACATTAGGCTAATATTTCCTGGTGTGTGTGCTAAGGAATAGTAGCTGTTTAAATGCTGAGTTGCTCAGCATTTTAAAAAAGTGAGGAGTTTTATAATAAAAAATATTGGGTAGATGCAGCAACCTAGAACTCCTCTCATAAATTTAAAGCACATGCTAATTTAGTTAATGAAAGAAAAAAAAGCCTGGAAATCCTATAGTTCATTTAACCCTAAGATTCCCAAGTTTATTTGACCACCACTTTAAGGGGCCAAGTTTATTGGACCACTTTGTTAGTTCCCTAGAACACTCTTCAAGGAATGCTACCTAAAGCCCTTCAGAGATTCTTGGAACAAAGTACTTTGGAGCAAAGATGAATGTTACAAAGCCATGAGAGTTGGAGTTGGACTCAAATCTGCCTCCCTGGTCTTCCCACTTTGTGAGGTTCCACTACTCAGGCACTAGGTCCCAAGATGGGGGTGGGGGGAGGACAAGAGCTGACAGGGCCAGGAAGGTAGGGAGGAAGAGGCAGAAGAATAATCCATTCACCTACTGAGATAAATGGCCAAACAGCTTTGTTTTCACTCATGTCTTTCATCCTTACATCCTGATCATCAGAGGAAAAAATGAGGAAGTACAGAGAGAAATAGGGTGTATGTGTTCAGTTTTCATTTTTGTTTTTTCTTTAAATGTCATTCATCTCTCTCTCTCTCCCCTCTCTGATCATTCATTTCTATTAATCCCACGATCTCCTCTCCAAATCGAAGAGAACTCTCTGAAAATGCTGAAGACTTCCACCCTTGATTCTGCTGCAGTCGGTGAGAGACTCTGAATCAAGTCAGCAACATTCAAACAGGTATCAGAAAGCATAACTTACCCCACAAATGTTTCTTGACAGTAGATATGCCCCCAAAGGGCACCAAAAAACAGGATCCACCTCATGATCAGGGATCTTGCTAGAATCTAGAACTCAGTCAGCATCACTCCTGAAGTTATTTATAGGGACCAGGGCCAAGGCTGATCTGCCAGCAGTCTAAGAACTTGGGTGAATTTCCACATGGTAAAATTCCCACCTGCGGGTCAAATTCTCAAGGTTTAGGCACCCACCTGTGTACATTTTCCATTCTTATGATGAGATAACAAACTTAATGGAAAGAGCCTTACAAAGGGCAAGTCACATATTTATATGATTTAGAACGTAAGTGCCACTCGCTCTACCCAGGGATAGGAGCCAGATTAATAGACCTTGAGGTTAGAGTCCTTTCCAGGTCTCTGAGAAAAAAAAAAAGGACACAACATTTATAGCAATTACCTGGGCATCCTGTCTATCACATGCCATTGGTTTGCTCCTTTGTTTATTTTTGTAATGTTTACCCTTAAACACGGCAATCGCTGAGTCCCCATCTGCAGACTCTCCCTGTACATGGGGCCCTGTCCAGTTCTCACTCTATATTAAAACAAAACAGAAGGCCTTTTAGTATTCAATTTTGAGCTGTCTCTAAAGTGATCCATCTGCATTTGCGTCAAATTGATGTCTCTGTTTCCGTGCTTTTCCCAAAATGAAAATCTCTCCCTGGTTATGACAATGAAATTGCTTGCACTAGCAAGTTTGAATAAAACGGAGGTGTTTTACTTACGGGTAATCACCAATAATTTCCCCACCCAAAGAAAACCATTTGTTGTATATCTTTCCAAACTTCTGTTTTACAGCTTTCCCTTAAACAAAAAAATGATATCATAGACTCTGATTTTTTTCCTTTGAAAAAATTTTAGAAGGTTTTATTTGTTTATTTTTAGAGAGAGGGGAAGGGAGGAAAAAAGAAAGGGGGAGAGAAACATCAAAATGAGAAAGGAACATGGATCAGTTGCCTCTTGCACACTCCCCACTGGGAACCTGGCCTGTAACCCAGGCACGTGCCCCCACTGGGGATCAAATGAGCGTCCTTTCACTTTGCAAGATGATACCCAACCACTGGTCAGGACTGGAAAGTAGTTTTATTGAAGAGTGCATCGTGATCTGATTTCTGTTTGTTTGGGGTTTTTTTCCATCACCATTTATTCCCCCATACCCTCTTTCCACCTCCGCCCACTCCTCTCCCCCCTGCAATCACCACGCTATTGTTTGTGTCTGTGAGTTCTTTATCTTTTTTTTTTTGGCTCAGTCCCTCCACCCCTCAGCCCCCAACCCCCAGAGCTCTCAGCCTGCTCTCTATCTATGAGTCTGTCTCCATTTTGCTTGTTACTTCAATGTGTTCATTAGGTTCCACATATGAGTGAAATCATATGGTACTTGCCGCTCTCTAACTGGCTTATACCACTTAGCATAATGTTTTCCAGGTCCATCCATGCTGTTGCAAATGGTAAAATTTTCTTCTTTTTTATGGCTGAGCAGTATTCCATCGTGTAAATGTACCATAGCTATTTTATCCACTTATCTACTGATGGACATTTAGGCTGTTTCCAAATCTTGGCTGTTGTAAATAATGTTGCAATGATGATAGGGGTGCATAGATTCTGATTTTTAAACAAATATTTATGAAAACAAAGGTGATTTTTTTCTTGTCTATAAACATAGATCTATATTAATCTGAATTTGCTCTTCATTGCCAGAGGAGAAAAATACACCTAGCTACTTTTAGGAATCATACTTGATTGCATCTTAGTCATGCACACACATTATATTCAGCCCAGCAAGAATTGACCACAAACAGACACAAGGAAATTTTTACCTGTCCTCCATGTGTCGAATTCTTAGTCTGCACACACTTTAAATCCCTGGTTAGAATTCTCAAGTAGCCACCCGAAGGGGAAGGGCAGGTATCTGGTGTTTCTGGTTTAAGACACTCCTGGATTAACTTGTGTTTCGTTGTGATTGTTATTGTTGTTTTAATCTCTAGTGTGTCCAAAAAAAACCCCCAGAAACCAAGAGGCTGAATTCAAACTAAGATGAGATTTGAACTGAGTCTTTGGGTGGCTAGGATTTGGCAAGGAGAGCCTGAATTTCTAGGGGCAGGGAAACATGAGAAAGGTAGAGAACTGGGAAAACACATGGCGCACGGTTGGGTTAGGCAGGAAGACTTGACCTTGGACAGGGTGAGGAAAGTAAAACATGAGAAGGCGGGGCTAGATGGTGAAGGGCCTCACAGTCCAAGAAGAGGAGTTCACACCTGCTGAGAGGGGAAGTGGAGAGCCCCGGAAGGTTTCTGAGCAGGGAAGTGTTGATGAAGGCAGGGATGAGAATGATGAGGCTTACAGGATGGGTTTCCCCCCAGAAATACTCTAAACGGGAAGCCAAGTAAGGAGATCTCTAGGGAAATCTGGACTTAAATGATACATCCGGACCAGGTGGCAGCCGAGGGAATGCATAAGATAGGCTCAAAGAGGTATTTCAGGGGGACAGTCACGAGTCCAAGGTGAGTGACTGGTGCCTGACCCGGGGTAGAAGAGGTCAGGGAAAGGGTGCCAACAGTGAGCAGATAGCCATCTCCACGACTGCCTCTCTGCGGTTCCTCATCCAACTGTTCCCTTTCGGGAAGTTCCGAAACTTCAAAGAGAAACTGTTTCTGAGAAGCACCACCCAATGAACTGTAATTACCGGAAGTGTTAGGCATAGTGGGGATGAGCCCTAGAGTTGCAGGGAGATCCAGGGTAAGCTTGGACCCCTCACTCCTGAGCCCAGGGCTAGTCCAAAGAAGGGAGAGGACCCCGGGATCGTGCCCGAGATGAGGAAAAAGAACAGTCCGGGAATGGATGAACATAGTAATTAAAAACGAAATAGAAGAAGTCAGGGAGCAGAAAACACAAGCCTTAATAGGAAGCTACAGGGAAAACTCCAGAAAGCACTGCTGTCCCTGTCCCTGTTGTTTCTGACCCTGTAGACAGATCCTTATCAAACAGATAAGGATCCTTCCTCTGCCCCCTCCTCATTTGGGAAGCTGGATAAAACCTGTTTAGATAGCTGTTTTGAGATGTGCAAGACATACCATAAACTGCAAATATTTAAAATATGCTACTTGGTAAGTTTTGACCTGTGTACACGCCCATGAAACTATCACCCCAATCACAGACATAGGCATCACCCCCAATAAAATCTGTTTTTGCGAATCACTGAGAAAATTTCCAGCCAGAAAGAGATCACTAGAGCACCCCTGGCTTTGCCAAGGTGGAACGGTGACCCGCAGTGGGGAAGTGTTTTGCCCAAAGGCCCAGGGCTGACCCAGGATTGGAGCAGGCACTGGGAGCTCTGTCCTCCAACCCCAGGTCCCTGTTCTGTACTCCGGACAGCACAGTCATCTCAGCTAATTCTACTCAGCTCTAGGAAACGACAATTTCCGACCAACCCTTCCTTACCAACCTCTCCCTGGGGAAGCTCTAATTCGGAAAGAGAAAGGCGATAGATCTCTTTAGAAAAGCGCTCCAGTGGCCTATTGCTTCCTATTAAGGATGACGTTAGGCACACTTCTCACTTTTGCCCTCTAACCTCAGAAAGTGAGTAGCCTGACTATAGGGACGGTGAGACACTAAACGGAACCATCGGAGAATAAACGATGATTTAAATCCTCCAGTAGAGTTACCAGACTCCAAAGCACTCCAAAATCCAAACTCTGAATGTTTTTGCATGTAAAAACAGTATTTCTTGCAGTAAATCTTTTTTCAATGGCTCTGTTAGTTAACTATTATTGATTTTTTCAGAACATTATGAATGAGATAGACTTCTGTGTTCTTAATAGAAAATACAAAAAGTCATGCTTTCTGGAAAAAAAAAGCTCCAAATTTCCATCAACTGAACTTTAAACCAAATTTTCCATCAGAGGAAGATCATTATATCAGAGTTGCTTGATTCTCTGCCACACATGAACAAGGCCACTCTAAAACTATATGAAATTGCTTTGTTTTTGCAAATGCACCATGGTCTTGTCAGATGTTAATATCAGGGGAAGGTGACTAAAAGACATACAGAAACTCCCCTGGCAACTTCTCTGTAAATCCAAGGTTATTCCAAAAATTACTGTATAACAAAAGTTTATTATTAAGAAAAGAAAACTTTCTGGGAAGCCACATGCAAGAACAAGGAAAATGCAAACAATGTACAGTGGGAAGTATTTGCAACATACATTTTATTTTATTTATTTTTGCCACCAAGAAAGTACGGCAAGTTCTCTGTGTGTCTTAGGGAGATACGCTAAGTGTCTCCCTAAGACACATGTGACTCCAACGTGGCGCCATGCCTGGAGTCACACAGGTGGCTAATGCTTAAAGACCTGGCTCACAGCAGCAGATACTTCACAGGGTTAATATCTTTACTATATAGGCAGTACTTACAAAACTCTACAAGGAAATACCTTGTAGATAATAGACAATAACAAAAATGGGCAGATCAAACACACACGCACACATACATATAGATGTATGGCCAGATATTTTTAAATGTTCAACATCTGTAGCAATCAAAGAAATGCTCTTTTAAAAAATGAGATGCCATTTTTCCCATCAATTCTATTTTCAATTCATATTTACTTTGCTACCCACTCATAGGCGGGTACTATGATCCTCATTTTACCGGTGAGTTCACTGAAGCTCAGAGGTTAAGCATCTCCCTAAGACACACAGAGAACTACCATCAGCACCAAGACCTAACTACGAGTCATCTGTCATCCCAGAGCCCACGCTACACCACTAGGCACATGACTGAACGAAGAGCTAACAAAAACATTTAGCAAAGTGGTTGAGTTTTTTAATTTAATTGATGTTTTCTTATTTGTTCGTTTGCTTGTTGGGTTTTTTTTGGTTTATTTTTCAATGACAGTTGACATACAATGTTATATTAGATTCAGGTGTACAACATAGTGATTAGGCATTTGTATACCTTATGAAGTGATCACCTCAGTAAGTTGGGTACCCAGCCATCTGACACCATAATAGTTTCTACGATGTTATTGACTATGTTCCCTGTGTTGTACTTTACATACTAGTGAGTATTTTTATAACTGGCAATTTGTGCTTGTTCATCTCCTTCACTTTCCTCACCCATGTCTAGAAATACATTTAACCAAGGAAGTAAAAGACCTGTTTTTGGAAACTATAGGACATTGAAGAAATAAACTGAAGAAGATACAAATAAATGGAAAGATTTACCATGCCGATGGAGAAAAAGAATTAGCATCATTAAAATGTCTGTATTACCCAAAGCAATCTACAAATTCAACACTTGTTTTTAATATGATCCAGAATTGGTAAGGGTTTGGGGGAAATGGGCA